CCCTATCCCAATAATAGGGATTGAGGAATAGACATAGTCAAACTACATATATATATGACTTCTGTCTGAGATAACGGAATTGTTATTGTATAAATGTAAATGAAATAAGCTTACAGGTGTGTAGGTGAAAAAAACAAGTAAAATACATTTGTGTACCGCTAGTACAGGTCCGGTTTATAGTTACAGATTGGCTACCGTGTTGTTCAGTGTTGTGAATAATATGATTTTTATTACTGATCTTAATCTCTCTGCGTCATTTGTATTTTTTGGAAAATTACTGCTTAATCCAAGATCTAGTCTTCTCAAAATTTAATATTTAACATATAATTAGAAAATAGAATTTTACTCAATTGGAATAAAGAGGCCAATCAAAAGATTTCTGTGAAAATCACAGGTCAATCAAATACTGAAAGTATTCAAATCTGCTGATGATCAGAAAGTCTTTTGACTCCTTGTTGGTATAGTCTACCTTATAATGCATAATGCCCATCTGCATTTGTATCTACATGTAAGAAGGGAGTGGGGGACGAGAGTTCATAAAATCTTTCGATTAGTGTGATTTCGATCCCAAGTAAGGTCGTCTGCCCAGTCTTATTGGTTTCCTGTGGATTCTCTGATTTCCCTCCTCTACAAATTATTGAAATAAAGTTGTACCACATGTTAGTCCCAAAATGCCCCAGTCTTTCCCTCTATACCAATGAAGCTATATGACAGTCTTCATTACATGTAGATGGCAAGTAGCATGCTAAACCCTAATTCATTTAGCTCTGCTTTTCAAAAATTAAGAAATGAAATAAATAATATATCCAGTGACGCATATGTAGGTGTTGAAATTATCATTCTTTTTGCTTTTATGTGTGTGATTGATGACGCGTTTAGTTTATGGAGTACACCGTCGTAAAATTCCACACATCCAATTTATTGATCTGAAATATTCAGTCACATTTACACGATGGATTTTATAAGGTAGTAAAATTCAAACAGCTATTAGGATTTTAATGGCTGCTACTACGTGAGTTAAAACTCACATATTTTACTTGTAATTTCTGTTGGTGTGATTTTTGTTCTCCTTTTATGGTGATCGTAAATTGAAGTCATGTATATCATCCTTGTCTAGGGTCAACGAGGAAATACAATCGACTTTATATCGATCATTTCTTGTTGTCTATGTCAAGTGCACGAGTATTGAAGGTGTATAACATTCTATCAGAATTTGTTTATATTATATAAAATAAAATATTGCTGTAAAAAAAAAAATGGCGAGTCTATCAGTTCATATTTTGTACCATGTATGTCAAGTGCATGACTTGATGGTGTTAAGCATTGAATTTCTATATATTATGATATAAATGGGACACATAAAAAAAATCTTGCTGTAAAAAACTAGATCTTTACTAGTAAGTCTATCAGTTCTATGTATGTCAAGTGCATGACTTGAACTAAATTGAGGATGTTAACATAATAATTTCTTTATATTATAAATAAAAAAAAAAAATCTTAAATTTTGAAGAAAATGGGTCTTGAACTGGTATTAGAGTAGGCAAATTTATCATTTTGATATGCCTACATGGAAATGTGGTCGTATATTGTCATCGCCTCCGCCTGTCGTCCACATTTTCTTCTGAACTCTCTACAAATTTTGTCATTCGATCATTTTAAAATTTATATATAAGTGAGGCAAAGAAGCCTATTGAATTTCAGCAATGATATTTCACGTGTAAGTGTTTTAAAGATTTTGCCTTGTGGACTGCTGCTGTGAGCGTGTCCATCTTTATTAGCAGGGTTGGTCTAGAACTGAAGACATTAAACCCCATTTCTTTTATCTAAATAACACAATAACCTTATATTTTATAGTAGTCTAATACATGTATGTGGTAGTTGAAGGTATAAAGTAAGTGAATGGTCTATATAAATGTGTATGAGTCATGTTCACACTGTCTTCAATATCAGACTATCTATGTACAGCTATTTAAAACGCCTTGCGCTTACACTACAATCAGCTGTCTTTCTACACTTAATTCATCTCTGGGTAATCCCACACAGATGCACTCTTATAAATTTGTAGGACACACCTATGTTGAGATACCTATCCACTTTGAAAGTCAACTCAAGACAACAAATTTGATTCAAATGGTTATTTAAAATTTTAGTTCCTCAGATTGTCTGGTTTGTATCAGAACTAAAATTAGTAAATGATTTTCTCTATATAATAATAAAGCCCTAATATGTCTGAATTACAGAAATACTTTTTGATGGTCATTTTTATACGCCCACATTTTCATGTGGACGTATATAGTCGTTGCCCCTGTCCGTCCGGACGTCTGTTCGTCCACAATTTGTTTGTGGACAATCTACAGGTCACAATTTTTATCCGATTTTGACTTAAAGGAGCTAAATCGCTAACATTTGGGACCTAGAAATTGACAAAAGTGGGTCGCAACGCATATAATACTGTAATATGAATGTATATAAACTGATTTACATTCAATGGTTTCCGTTTTTACTCCAATTTCAAATCAGTTATGTTCGGCGAAATAATCCAGCAGTCTCAAGCGAGTGCAAATTTCTAGCGTCTGGTTATTCCAGTCTACATACGCCGTTTGATTTGGTGCGATGTGTCTAGCCTCGTCCCTCGAGTCTCTTGATACAACTGGGGCTAAAGCGCATTATGGTACACGATTCGTGTACCAATGGTAAAATGTTTATTTTGTCTTAAATATTGAATATCAAAAGCCCATCTTTTTCCGGTAAGATTACAACATGAATGTTGAATTTATTTGGCAAATAAATCGTGTTTTCAATGTTGAAGATTTTGGATCATATTGAGTTAGAGACTTAACTACTTTAACTTGAAATATAGGTCTATCTCGGAAAGATCTCGGTTCCTTTTGATATTCGCATGTTTCGGACCATAACTTCATGGATTATGGCCCCTGATTGTACGAAAAATCAAGTTGTTAGCTTGTGGACACTCTAGAGGTCACAATTTTGATCCGATTTTGATGAAACTTGATATGCATGTTTATAACCCAAATATCTTGTTCCCTTTTGTTATTCGCGCATATTGGATTGTAAGTTCCTGAATTATGGCCCCTGAGGACCGCGCACTCCGCACTACACGTGAAACAAAATCTACAAGATAAACCTGCCGACAAGACAGAAAATAGACATTGCACCAAATAAACAAATATCAAATCAAGTGAATGGATCCGCGGGCCAGCCGTATGCATCCACTGCGCTGTACAGTCCCGGGCCTGTAGTGACACCGACTTCACTCAAATTTGAAAACAATCGGGAATACAAAAAAGACGTAACAGAAATAATGCTTGTTGACCAATTTTCGACAGTGGTCGTCTCCTCAATGGCGATAGTCTGCCAGTTGACATCATGAGTTAGAACGTCAAACAATTTTAACAATAAGGGCGATAATCCGGATAAAATCTCGGAAAACGCTAAAATAATAATTGTACCGGTAGTGAACAAACGGGAGCAAAACCCGACGAGAACATTCTGCAGTACGAATGGTTAAAACTCTACTCTAATAGTAAGTGCAGGAGAACCGCACTACATGTAAAACAAAAATCTACAAGATAAACCTGCGGACAAGACAGAAAATAGACATTGCACCAAATCTATATATATATTTGTGACTGTCGTTTGTCTGTCTGTCTGTTCGGGGTTGGCGGCTACACTAGGTCTGCCCCGAGTCTGAAATTTGGGGTATGTGGGTAGCTCGGACCGGGGAGTAACATAAGCCAGGTGGCGTTAGTCTACCACTTCCGGTTTCGGAGTTATGACCCCCGAGCAAAGCCGGGTATCCTGCTAGTAAAGTAATAATTAATGATAATATAGTGTAAAATATAGTGATAATTGATAATAATATACATGTAGCTTGAAATGTAAGTAATATTTGATAATAATATAGTATAAAATATAGTTAAGCGATATTTGATATTGTTCAAAATGAGCTGCAAGTATAATATAATAATATGTAAGTGGGTGTAATACAATGTTGATGTATATAACAGAATACTACCGGCAGTTATATTTTACTATAATACTGGGAGATTTTGGCAGACATTTCATTTATTTAAAGTATTGGCAAGCTATCTGGCTGTCTGCATATCATTTGGATGCAATCCGTGGTGTCTTGTTCTGTGCCTGAAATATTTGAAAAAATAATCAAGTAGAGCAGTTACGGCACTGGACTGTCCGTTTCAAATCCCAGCTTGAGCTAAGAAGTACCTTCACGATTTTCAAGTCTAGCCATCACAATTTTCAACTACTACCCGTACCTAGGACAGCTATGGTTATCATCTGATTACTGATACATTTTTTTTTTTTGGATACATATTAGCACTTGAAAATAATACAATTTGATTTTTTATTAAACATACATTATGCAAGAGCTAAATCTGCCTATTGTAGGTCTTTTACTTTAGGCCTGAAATGTTTTCTAAATTATTAATTAAAAATTAATTACTTTATCCAGGCCATAATCAGCTCTCGATGGCATCGGATTTCTCCGATATTAAATAGATTAGAACAGTTCAGCCATATTTTGATTTAAGCTAAAAATGGAGGAGCGAGACTTAGCTTCGAACAACCAGTACAGTGGTTGAAATTATTGCACATGTCTTGTCAAACCTTCAAAGGCTAATATCTTTGCTCGCAATAGAGTAATTTGAATGAAATTTTCAAATTATTCTTTTTACATTACCTTTTTTGAACTATTATAGCAAGAATGGCTAGCACTTTATCTGTATCTTTAAATGTCCCCAGTACTTACAAATGAATAAATATGCAATGTTTGTGGACTGCTCAGACGTATATTTCTGATTCTTTGCTGGGCAAACTATCTTTGTGATGATGCATTGTTTTGTTTTTAATGTCTTTATATTTACAGAAACTTCAAGATATGTTTTGTTGCTTGGCAACCTATCTTTATGTAATCTTGTGTTTTCATTTAATCAAGTTTTTTTTTGTCTTTCTAATTACAGGAACTTCTGGATAAATACCTTATTCCTCAAGCTAAAGCTCTACATGAGAAGAAAGGTTCAGATGAGGAAGATTCCGGACCACCTCCAGCAGATAGTTTAGTATTTTATTTAAAGATGAAGGGAGATTATTACCGATATCTAGCCGAAGTTAGTCAAGGAGACAAAAAAGGAGGTAAGTAAAGTCTCCCCCCCCCCCGTTATGAGGGTTGGTTGGGAAAGGGAATAGGTCTATACTATGCATTTTAAATCATTACATAATCTAGTCATTCGGATGGGCTAAAAAAGTCAGGTTCCATTTTGTTGTCCATGAAAATTTAATGACAGTCTGGTTTTAGACTCGATTGAATCCAAGCCGGGACAGTGTACTTTATTTAAGTTGAATACATGTATGTTAATCTTGAGCGAGGGTCAAACTAATATTGTCTACAATAAATTTTAATGCTGAAAAAGTGTAAATGTATAATATACAGGCCAGTTTGAATAATAACCCAATGTTCACTGGCAATCTATATCTACACTACATGAAGATCTGACCGGTTGTAGTGGAAGGTCGCGTCAGGGGTCAAATGAGCGGCTTTTGACCCTATGATGTCAGACATTGATTAATCAATCAGCGTTGACATTCCTAGTGGTTTATCCACAGTTCCGTGCACCGCACGCCAAGAATTCGCTGTAACAGACCGTTTCATTGGCTAATCCCTCACATCAACCAGTACGCGGGTTATATAACGACCCCACTTAGACAAGTAAAACGAAATTTAGAACTATAATAAAAAACGAAAAGAGATAGGATCTGTATTTTAATCAAATTGTATCCTGTGCTTCTATATTTGTGGCCATAAAGAAGTAAATATATGTGAAAAAATTCCATGTTTCCAAAGTTTGAAAATTAGGCTCCCGGTATGTAATTTAATCATAGAAATACCACTGGTAAAATAATCTTACATATATGTTGTACTAAATTTAGGTTAACCCTTAACCAGTCGACGTCAAGTGGTCAGGCTAAATATTTTGTATGCCTATTTCAATCGACTACTGTCAAATAATTATAAGTGATAGACTCTTGACACCAATAAAAAAGTTGAAGGGGATAAGTTGATCTATAATTTGCAAATCATTCCAAGACCTTTTCATCAGAAATATTGTCTTCAGAATCGGTGTCATCGATATAATCCGAGTCGGAATCATTCATAAGTATTTCAACGTTCCCGACATCGTTAAATTAAGTTTTTTGTCAAAAATTGTTGAACAAAGACATGTTTTTCATAATGCCCTTGACAAGACAAGTTCCTGTCTGACACACATGCGTGGCCATATCAATTAAATACGAAACTAAATACTAGAATGCGGCTTATCAAAAAGGTTTTTGCTGTGGTCGACTTTAGTCGACTGTGACCACTTAGTTGTATAACGTTGTGGTGACTATAGTCGACAATGACCGGTTCAGGGTTAAGTGAAATCTTTGGTGCCCTTCCAATGGATGATCAAGGCTCTTGGGACTCTTGGTCTCGACACGGCTAAATGTGCACGCTTCAGTTGCGTGTCTCGAACTGATTTCTGACTACCCCGCACTCGCTTTGAGTCGATAAATAGCCATGGCACGTGCAATTCTCTACAAATATATCAACTATTACAGCCGTAAAAAATCTATTGTTGACGATTTTGAATAGCAGTAAAATTTAGCTTCTTGGTTATTACAGCAGCTTTAGTAATTATGTTTGTTTTATTTTTTAAATTGCTTTATCATTAACTGTACCGTTAAGAGCGGCATCTTTTGGTTTAGTACAAATACTATCTCTGAATCACTTTCTTTAGCAGGAACATGATACTAGCAGTAGTTTCATTTTACTTTTACAAGTTTCTTAAAACAATTGTTGAGTTGTCTAAAGTGCTTATTTCTAAATTCAATTTCTTGTTCTAGCTTTCTGTTATGTTTCGTAAAAAAGTAGTCTTGATTATCCCGACCTGTCAATCAGACGTAGAATGGTCGATAGACTGGTTAAGCGAGACTAATTTCAAAACAAGGGCACGTAACCTATCTTTTACTCAAAAGTGTCTGGATGTTATGGACGCAACTTGGAACCAGTTTTCAGTCTATTATTTATAGATGATTAATGATCATAGCTTATTAAGTACAACATGATCGTTTATTTAGTAACTATAATTGTGTGAAACTGATTTGAGGCTTGGCATATATATAAATATTGTGGCGTAATTGTCGAGATATTTGGAGATATTTATTTATGGTGGGTCACCCTACTAAATATATGTTTTGTGTTTTTCAGAAGTAGTAGGAAAATCCTGCAGTTCTTATAAAGAGGCTGACGGAATAGCAGAGTCTATGGCGACAACTCACCCTATACGTTTAGGCTTGGCACTTAATTTCTCCGTATTTTATTATGAGATCATGAATAGTCCTGAAAAGGCCTGTGAATTAGCTAAAAAAGTAAGTTTGCACTTTCTAATGTTTTTACCTCGAAAATCACCATAGATGAAACGTTTGTTTACGTCACGATTCTATTCACACCACAACTATGTAGTATGTTGTCGAAAATTGGTGGTCCCGTCGACACAATCTGAAATTTGACAATCAATGGGCAGAAAAGTCGCTGTCTGGACAAAATTTCCCACATAGCACATACATGTAGATTACTCTTCTATGGAATACAATTACTGCTTATTAATGAGCGTTTTGACATTGCTTGATAAAGGCTTGATAGAGAATCCTAGTAAAAAGCAGTAATTGTATTCCATAGAATTGTGACCTGTGCGTGTATTCTGGTTTAATTACTAAATGCCATTGTAACAGTTCATTAGATAGGTTATGGTACAAAGTAAGACGTTAAACCCCATTTCATTTCTTAAATTAAGCAATTCCGTGACTTCCAACATTACATGTATCTCATTCCCCAGCATGTAGGAAAAACAGACCAGGTTATCCCTTTGTGTGTTGTTTTGAATTGTACTAGACAAAGATAAGAGACAGAATACCTGTATACCCCACATGAGCATCCACTCCCATTTCTATTGAAGCCACGGTTGTTCTGTGAGTCAGGTGCTTCAAATTCATACACATTGGAAATACGATGAAGCGTATGGATTTTTTGCAATTTCCAATAATTACTGACAGAGTTGTGGCCCTTGACATCTTTGAAAAATCTTTTGGATGCTGTAGAGACCAACGTTATTGTCGGATTGACATCAAATTTATACACAGTCTCTAAGGTCACAAGACGAGGAAGCCTATTTCCGATATTTACTGCCAGAGTTATGGCCCTTGATCACTGAAAAATCTTGTGGACACTGTGAAGGCTATTAATCTTCAACTATTTCTGATATTTATTGTCAGAGTTATGGTCCTTGAAACAAAGAATCCTATTGACTCTTAATGATTTCGGATAATTACTGCTAGAGTTGTGGCCCTTGATCTTTTTGAAAAATCTTGCGGATGCTCTAGAGTCAAAATTTATCAGCCGATTTTAAATTTATTCGTAGTGCTTAAGGTCATGAAACAACGAAGCCTGTTGATTTCTAATGGTTTCTAATAAATATTGCCCGAGTTATGGCCCTTGATTTTCAACAATTTTTATTAAATAGAACAGCTAATATTACGTTTTTATTATACTAAACATTAGCATTGAGCAGAACTAGGAGCCAAACAAATTCTAATAATTTCTTGATAAGTAATTATAAAATATGCGACAACCCTTGCTGACTGCCCAAATGGCTAAGCTGCTGTCTCTGGCAACCTGTCTTTCCATGTACACGTTTCTACTTGTGTTTTTGTTGGTTACCGGTACATGGAAACAGTCCCATCACATTTGCCTTTGACCAATTTTTTCACCACATGTGCACATGTTAAAAGAAATTGTATTTTGTGTTTCCAGTGTAAGATTGAGTATTGATGATAAAAGAATATTTTTGTTTTTTTCAGGCTTTTGATGATGCTATTACCCATCTAGATTCATTGAATGAAGAGTCGTACAAAGACAGCACGTTGATAATGCAGCTGCTGAGAGATAATCTTACGGTAAGTTGTCCTTGCATGCTTGGATCCATTATGGCTCACTGACCAGGAGGTCCAGGTGTCATTACATGATTTTTGGAATGTAATTAGTTACTCATTACATGACCATTACTTCAAAAATGTAATGATTGCATTCCATTACACCCATTACCCCAGCCCAAGCATGTGTTTAAGAAAGATCCATGGGAATCTCCAACTTGGTTTCCTCTGGTCTGTGTGTGCAGGTTGAAGGACATACTTAGGAAAAGTGAACAGAGAGGATAAAACATGGGAATTTTGGTGGCTTTGGACTGCCGGTCAGACATTTAATGCTTTCACTGTTGATAAGCCTGGCGCCATGGTTGCTCACCAACCTTAAAGGTCCCAAGGATTTGTCAGTAGTAAACAATCAACGGGTCCAGCTATGCTGTTTTTACCGCTAGTACTTCACTTTTCAACATAAAGCAAGCAGATTCTTTTTTACTTGTATTTATTATAACAAAGGTAGAAGATAGCCCGCCCTCTCTTACGTGCAAACTTTTAACACCATGTTTTAAAGTGACATTTTTATGTAACACCTTGATCTGTAAATAACTTTATTAATTCAACCTGTCCATAATATATCATAATGTGGGTTTACAAATTTACATTGTACCAGTAGTGTACAAACAACCCTTTTTGAATGGATATTATTCATGTATGTGCAATTAAGTCATTATCTACTTCAGTGAAGCAAACCATGAATAAAGCATTCCTCTTTAATGTAGCAACGGGTGCCGTGCACATGCCAGAGGGCTCTAGAACACCTGATACCACTTTCCATTGGAAAGTTGCTCATAAACCTTTGAATAATAGCGCCTAACAGGCAGCTGTGTTTAATTATGTTCTCCTGATTTTGATTGTTTCTGTGTGTTTGAAGTATATGTTTGTGATATGCGCTTAGAAACACTTCACGTGTAATGAAGCGCTATATAAATCGAACAATAATAATAATAATAATAATGTATTCTTTGAGCGGCATTTAGCAATTGACATTAGGTGGAAAAGGTGATTTTGAGATTATGATTATACATTTGATTTTATAAGTTTTTCAAGTAGATCTCATCATTCTTCTCACAAAACTTTTTACAGATTCAAAATCGGATGAAATTTTTTTTTTTAAGGAGGCTCAAAGTTGTGATTTTTGACTTTTCGCGGAAGAAAGGTTTTTCAACACCTTGAAAAAGTCATTTTTGGTGTTTTTTGCAATGCCATATTTCATTTCGTATCGAAACTATCAAAAATGTAGATGTAAATTCATGAAATACAACTTTAAGGCTAATTATGTTTCGATTTTCACATTTGTGTAACAATTACTCCAATTTCCCCAGCAACTCCAAAATACATAGGTTTTCTGAAATATTGAACCTGGTTGTTATGCATTTTAAAGTCAGTAGCTATCAAGTAAGATAAACAGAAAAAAAAATAGTAAAAATATCTAAATGCCTTCTCTCAAGAGCTGAATATATGTTCATTTTTGAACAATTTTCCGCGGCACACAATTGCCTATTTTTGGGGCGTTTTTGGGTCATTAGTAAAATAAGAAGGAATGGAGATAAACAAGTGAAATTATGGGAATATGTCAAAAAGTTTGTGAATTTTTAAAATTACATATTTTTAATCCCCCATATATTATCAATTTTGGTTGTCATAGCAACTAAAATGGAAAAAATGCAATTTTTGACCATTTTCAACGCTGTTTACCATGACCCAAAAAGTGATCACCACATTTAAAAATAAGCATTTTAAAATATTTGAAACCCATATAATGTCAAATGATATGGATTGTATAAGTTTGAGCAAAATATTAAGGAGTTTGAGTGGTTACCATAGCAACCACTGTATATTTTTTTTAAAAAAAGCATTATTTTTCAATAATTATGACATCAATATTGATAATTGTATTATTTAAAATCAGAAGCTATTGGGCAAGATTTTAAAAAATAAATAAAATCAAAATCTTTATAAATACGAAAAACTAACCCCAAAAATGCAATTTTATATCATTTTGAATGGTACGTGTTTTTACCATAATGAAACATGAGATCACTGATCACCCATTTTAAAGAAAGCTTTTAGCATCTAAAAGCAATGTGATATTAAATGTTATAAATTGTATAATTGTTATAAATTGCATAATTTTTAGTAAAATATTAAGAATTTTGGGTGGTTGCCATAACAACTATATAATTTTAAAAATAACATACCGATAACTGTTGTTTCACTATTGTTTGTTCTCTGCATGTAGGCCTATTGCTTACATGTTACAAGAACATTTCTATTTTGTATATACATTATTATCTAACAACATTGACCAAAAAAACAAATTATTTGTGGTGCATCTAAATAATTCTCTAAAACTTTTAAAAGAAGACTAGGTAGGTACCCATACGACAGTCAGTAGGCTAAGGTACATGTACTATGTAGGCCTAGGGTGGCACTAATGCTAGGATTTTGACTGGAAGAATTGTTTTGTTTTTACAATGTAGGTCTACTTTACATTTGAACATTTTCATTATTCCTCCAAATGTAGACTATCGTGGAGCAACTACCCTTTTTTTATTCGTATATTTTCGTCAACAACATCAAATCTAGGCCTATTGAATTTAATAAAGCCTTCACCCTGTGTTTGTCGGCCTAGATTCAATTTGTTTTTTACTGGCTAACAAATAAAATTTGGTGTTAAATAAATGTATTTTCCCAAAATTACAATGAATTAAACATATAAATAATTAGTATGAAAACCGATATATATAATGATAAAATATTGAATAAATTGCCTTTGTAACTGTACGGCCATTTTATTGACTTACCACGGCACTAATCTCAAACGAAATGTTGTAAATCGTCAACGGAAATTCCAGAATTTGAGCCATTATTTAAATTATTTTTTGTTGGTGTTAATTCTTTTGCCATTCCAACTTTATTTGGGTATTACAATGGTCAGAAATCATGTTATTATTATCCGTAAGTCCGTTCCTTTAGACGAATACAAGTCGCAACCGGAAATGGTTCTCCCATACCGTGTTGATATTTTCCGATTTCATTTTCATTCGTGTGCACATTAAATACTTCAAATTAGGCATGAACAACAGAGAATTAAGTAATTCAGAACATTGAAATACTTGTCTATGTTGGCAATTTTTTAACGGTTGAAAAATATTTGGTGTTAAATGTAAAGGCGTGTGTAATAGGAGCGGAGACGAGAGGAAATTTCCCCTTCGATAAAAGCGCGCGAATATGAGTCACGTGATGTAAACATTGTGGATCCTTGTCGAGATCAGGCATCAAAATAATGGAATTATCTATCATTATGTCTTTTCAGGCAAGTCATTTATTCATATAACATACATGTAACGCTTATTTCATAAATGAACAATGAGTTGCATTGAGACGTAATTTACCGTGAATATGCGTCTTAGGAACTTGAAATTATTTTTTTCTTCGCGCGTTGAAATGACGTCATCACATGCCAAACTACGTTGTTAATTATTTTCCAAAACATTTTCCGATGTATACCATTTTCAAATGCCCGATTTTGTTGATTTTAATAGCATCGAAACGGCAATAAAACAAACTTTCGATCGGTCGGGGGTGCTATATTGGCAAATTTCCTCAAAAAAAGATTATGTGAATTGAAGTGTTCAACTTAAAAAAAAAAAAGCATGGTATTTTGAAATGTCAACAAAGCACCCCCGACCGATCGTTCAATTATCTTTCTAATGATATTAAAATGAAAAAGAAATATTAATAATGAGTGACCTCGCCGAGCATTTGAAGTGGGGTACCCTCATTTAAAAACGTGACAAAATTTTTCTGCGTAACGTCAAAACACGGCAAATTGACGTTTTTCAACTTACGCTTATGAAATAAATAAAACGAACACATATATAAAAATTATATCAAACAAAAGAACATAATATCGGCTTCCAAAATATTTTTAAATTATTACAAAAGATTAAGTAGCCACTGTTTGACGTTAAGTTAAAAAAGGGTTACAAATCCGGAAAAAAAGACTTTCTTCCAACGCGGGCAATGGAGCTGTGACACCTATTGACATACGTAATAAACACAAAAACATATGGAACACAATTACTATTATAATTGAAGCAACGTTTCGTTGAGGGTTCTATCAACGTTTTCCAGCAAATGATGATGAAAATAATATATAGAAGGTTTAGGTACAAAAACAATTAACAGCTAATTAATCAATAGGGAAATGGTTAATTAGCTGTTAATTTTTTTTGTACATAAACCACCTGTATATTATTTTCATCATATGATTAACGGTTAATTAGCCGTTAATTGTTTTTGACATATGCTTCATTGGCCAATGTTGATACAGAAAAGTGGACTTTTAAAACTCCATCTCCTTTATTCACCTAATTAACTAAAAGGAATAATGAATATAAAAATTTCTTTTCAGCTATGGACGACAGACACACAGCCTGATGAGGGAGACACTCAAGAACAGGAACATTAGCTTTATATATCTCCATGGAAACACATGTTGATTGACACCACCGTGTGATCATGTGACTGGGAAGCTCAATTTTTATTGGTTGGCTGGACATCAGATGATTAAAATAAATACTAAAAGTCGTAGGACGTCTCTTCTCAATGGCTCTTCGCTATTAAAATTGTCATCGTTGTAGAGAATGATAAACTTCATTTCAATATCAAGTTTCCGTTCACATGCAAGCTAAATTCTTTTTAAAGAAATAATTGGGTTGGAATTTCTTAATAATTTTGTTTTTTTGTTGGTGCAAGTTCCGCTGGCACATTTCATATCATAAATTAACAATTTTTAGGACTGAATATTTTTTTTCTCCCCTGTGAATTGTTCGTAATTTAATCTATCCGACAACTTGTGTAGCTAACGTGTATACGTACGTGTTGTTAAAACTAATTCATTATTAATGATTTTTTATTTTATTTTAAAAAGCTACCCGCCCCCTTCCATCTCCATGTAGCGTACATACCCCCCCGGCATATCTCATCTTGTTAGTTGAGAGGACTAAAAGGTGACACGTAGAGAATTTTAAATATGTGTTTCTATTGTAAACTGTTTTGGGTTATTCGTAGAGTTATCTATATAGTAAATTATTGTATTCAAATTATTATTATTATTATAATTTCTAACATCCCATCTGTAGAGCAGGATAGTCTTAGTAGAAATATCGTCGGTCGCCCCCCACCCCCCCAAATTTCCCTAATCTGTACTTTTATTGAGATCCTATTACTATTATTACAGTAATCTTATAAACTAAAACACGATATTTAATAAAGCCCAAATGAAAAGCCAAGAAAATTTCTTTTTTCTGTTAAATAATGAGACTTAAATATAGCCTTCGACAGCCAACCGTGAATTGAACATTTGACCCATGAACTTCAGTTGAGTCTTTCCTTCATCTTTCGTCAAATTGTAATTAAATTGGGAAATTATAGAAAGCCAGATTTTTATCCTTGTGTTGAAAAAAAAATAATAATAAAAAAAAGTTTAACAAATTGTGTTCGAATAGTATAGTTCTATTAAAAAAAAATGAAAATTGAACGACTGTGACGTGAGATACTTTGTTATAAAATGTCAGACTTACAATCAAATTTGATTATCATGATAAATGTATCAAATTTGAACTATATTGCGCAATAAACTTGGATCTCTACACACTGTTCTGTATCTCTGAACCTCATTTGAGCGATTGATGAATCCCTTGCAAACTACAATTTTGTGACTGTTAAATCTCTAAAAGGAATATCAGTCGAAAAATGGTCCAATTCGACATCCTTTGCAGATGATATAGGAACAGGATATGGCCAGAAACCAGTGCCATCTTTGCTACAATTTTTGATGGGCCTCTTTTTTAATGATGTTCGTGGAAAATTTGATATTTTCCTAAAAGTGCAAATAACGCACAGGGACTTTGATGAAGAAAAATCTAAGGAGGTTCATCTTGGCATTGGTTGTTACCCTAAAGATTTGTGAAATAAAATTTACCCCAAAAGCTGTTCGAATCGATTTATAGCCTAGTTTGGAAATAACAAAATCAAGATCTGTTTATGAGAACTTTGTATTAACAATGTGAATTGGTTATACACACACTTCTGTGGAAATATTTGATAATGTGTTCAAATCGGCTGGATCCAAAGTTAGAAAATAAAAAGGGCTTTGATATCCTAGTTTTCAGCACCGATGGGCTACAGAAGACGGAGCCAAATTAGGAATTAAGCGTATCTTATGATGAAGATCCAATTGTGTTGAAGATGGCGTGGGGTAGATGAAAGACTCAACTGTAATAATGGGTTCTAAGTTATGAACTTAAAAGAATATATTAAATATTGGGTGAAATTAACAGCAAAAACAACATTGTGCTACACTATTAATATTAATATTATTAATGTTCCTAGCATCTAATAATTTCATTTATCGTCATCAGTAAAGTAGCTTAATAAAATTTTAATTTTAAAAGAAAATTGACAAAAAAAAAATCAGTGTATCTTTTAAACATTTTGTTCCTGGTATTTTTTTTTTTTTTTTTGATTTTTTTTTCCCGTCATTTCAAATCCTAGTGATGATGAGAAATAAAAAATTAACAATTTTTAAGAAAAGTGATTTCTTTCTTTCTTACTGTGTTTGTTGTTAACAAGCTTTGATTAATCTCTTAAACAGCCATTCATTGTTCATTTTTTCCATTTTTTTTTTTTTTTTTTTTCATAGTTTAGTTTTTACTTTTATGAAGAATTTATATCAATGGAAAATCGGGAGTGAAAATGTTGCAGCCATCTTAGAGACAATTTCATTATTTTTAAATGTAGTCTTTGTCAACAAGATTTTGTATTTATTATTATAACGTCAGCTGTTCTGTGAGACTGGATGCTCAAGTCATCAGTTTGAATTATAATGATTACAAATTATTAGTCCAGACATTTTGATGAAAGGCTAAAGGTTTGTAATGATTAGAAGAAAAAAAAAATTGATCGACTTTCAATCTGTCTCTTTAGTTTATTAGGCCTGTAGTTAAAATTTTACAAATTGGTTGAAATTGACTTTGAGGTACCTTTGCATAATATTCGAGACTTTTTTTTTTTTTTTTTTGTGTCTATGCGGCTTACAACATAACAATTTTCCACCATTAGTTAAATTCTATATGAATATATATATACAACACAACTAATTGTTGTGGTTAATAAAATTTCTAAACAGAAAAAAAGACATTGTTCCATAGATATGTGTTTCCATAGATCAGTGCAGGGGGGGGGGGGGGGTCGGACCGTTGAACCGGATCTAAGGGGTCAGGGGCCCATAGACCCTGATTGGAAAAAACAATCGTCCTATATTTTTTACAAAATAAATTTTTATCGTTGCATCCACTAAAAAATATTGTGGCCGAAATTCGTGGAGAAAAATGGTCAATTAGTAGAATGCTGGAAGTGATTAAAGCCAGTTGTTTATTGTCGTCACCCCTGTCCATCCGTCCACAATTTGTTTATGGACTTTCTACAGGTCACAATCCGATTTTGACGAAACTTGAAATATAGGTTTATCTACAAAAGGTATTGGTATCGGACTGCAACTTCATGAATTATGGTCCCTGATTTTAGTCCTGCGCATATGAGCAGGACTGAAATGACGTCATGGCTTGTTTATTGGCGGAAAGTTACGAATACTCACTTAGAACAGTTGAAATCGCAGGTAACACTGACATTCAGGAAGATGTTATACTTATGGAAAGGATATGTTGACATAATTACTTGCATTATTTAAAAAAATTATGAAGCTTTTCCAATGACCTTTGAAATAGGTTTATATCCCATAGATCTGTTTCTTTCAATATTCGCGCATTTCAGACCTTAAATTACTGGATTATGGCCTGTTGTACGAAAAAAACAACCGATTTTTCCTTTTAGCTTGTTCTCGATTCATCTCTTGCAAAGTGTTGACGTATCTTGCATGGCAACCGGTGTTTTTTTTATCATTCTAAAAAAAAATTCTTCTCGGTGATGAGGGCCCAAGGAAAACAGTTGGTCCAGAACTACCCAGTTTCCCAACCTGGCGTTCAGAGTCAAATCATATGGGTGTTGTTGAATAAAATATGGCCAAATAAAATTACAGAATGAAATCTTGGGTATTGGTAAAATGATGAATGAATGGAGGTTGATATATCAGAATGAGGGCAAGTGTGAATTGTGGGCAAACAGGCATATATGATGTCATCAAAATACATATTGTTCCTGTCAATTGTTTCATGCTCTAGAGTCTATAATTAAATTTATACACAGTGGTTAAACATACATTATGCAAGAGCTGAAATTTTAAGCATATTCCCTTTGCATTATCTAGTTTTTATAAGCCCACATTGAAATTGTCTTTGCCCCCTTTTGGCGTCCACAATTACTTGTGGACGCTCTAGAGGCTAAAGTAAATATCTGATTGACTTTAAATTTATACACAGTGTTTAAGGTCATGAGACGAAGAAGCCCATTGATTTTCAGCGATTTCCGATAATTACTGTCAGAGTTATGGCCCTTGATTACTTTGAAAAATCATGTGGACGCTCTAGAGGCTAAAGTTAATATCCCATTGACTTTAAATTTATACAGTGTTTAAGGTCATGAGACGAAGAAGTATATTCATTTTCAACAATTTTTTATAATTACTGCCAGAGTTATGGCCCTTGATCACTTCAAAAAATCTTGTAAATGCTCTAGAGGCCAAAGTTAATATCCGATTGACTTTAAATTTATACACAGTGTTTAAGGTCATGAGACGAAGAAGCCTATTTTCAGCGATTTCCGATAATTACTGCCAGAGTTATGGCCCTTGATCACTTTGAAAAATCTTGTGGGTGCTCTAGAGGCGAAAGTCAATATCCGATTGAGTTACAGAATAAGTATGCTCCAGTTACCTCATACTACTTTGAGAATAACTGTGCTTAGGTTACAGCATGCATACGAGATGTTGATTTGGAACTGAAATCCTACTCTGCTCACTTGAATTCCAGATTTTATTGGAGAGGGGACAGATATGAAATGGTGTTATGTGGGGAAAGCCTGCCTCAGAAAATTAATTAAAATTAGAAGACCTCAAACGTGTTTTTATTCTATATCTATTCTATTTCAGCCCGTGAATACACAGCAACCTGGGGTGGGGGGGGGTTGGATGGCCAAATGGTTAGCGCGTGCTGTAACAGACGGCCTGTCATTGAGTCAACTGGCGTAGTTTCGAATCCTCGGTTGTACGTGACGAGGAGTAGGGGCCCTATCCAAGCTGTGGGTTTTCTCCGGGTCCTCCGATTTCCTCCCACTGCTAAAGACCCCTACGCGCAAGCGAATTATTGAAATAAAATTAAAAACCATATGTTAGTCCCGAAATGACCTAGTTTGAGTCGAGTGGACGTTAAACCCCATCTCTCTCTCTCTCTCTCTCTCTCTCTCTCTCATTCTCTCTCTCTCCCCACAGCAACCTGAATGTGGTGCAATATAGTCTTATTTACATTTTGTAACTGAAATCCCACCCAATGCCCACCTGAACCCCAATCAACTAACAGTTCTAATCAGACTGTTGCAGTGCAGTTGCATTCACGGGACACCTGAAATTTAATTCCTCAAAAAGCTGATGAAACAAATTATGATACCGGCTTAAAGCAGAGTGGCTCTAGACATTGTTTATTACACTGAATTTTAATGTTGGTCAATTTAGAGAAATTTCGATTCCCGAATAATAAAACTGTCGGCAGCTCAATGAAGAGTGGTTCCAGGCCAAAAAGTCATGTGAATTAGGGCACTTTATTTTGCCGACAATTGGGCAAAAAATTTTCTTTGTCCTCTTCCCCCGTCTCTTACTCATATGGCCGTGTCCCCACAATCTCTTCGGGGATTTGTTTACCTTAAGTGGGCATTATCTAAGATTTAGATAAAGAGCTAACAGTTCTCTGTATAATTGGGAGGGGATGGGGGAGCGAATGTGAATGGTTAACGCGTGCGCGTTGGATCAGAAGGTCTGTCATTGAGTTGTGGTGTCGATACCCCGCTTGTACGTGTCAATGTGTTGGGACGCCTGTTCAACCTTGTGGGTTTTCTCCGCCCCCCCCCCCCACTGCTAAAGACCCTAGGCGCAAGCGAATTGATAAAATAAAATTGAACCATATGTTAGTCCCGAAATGACCTAGACCTAAATAATGAAAAGGGATTATGTTGAAAATTTTAGTCAAATTACTTCATTATGAGCTGAGTGTAGTCTCGTTTGTCATTGCTATGGTTAAGATAATAAACAAAGTTTTAATTATCCATATTTAAATTAAATCACGGCCAATTGTATTTAAATGTGTTGAAAATCTTGAGTATCCGAATGGATGGCATCGAGAATATCGATTATGGTCTTGATAAGTTAATAAATGTGTAATTGATAATTTATATAATTTAAGGCATAAAGAAAGACCTGCAATATACAGATTTAACTCTTGAATAATGCCTATTTTAGGTCTCATTCTGATCCATGTCTTATCGCAAATATCAATCCGCCTCAAATGATATTCTTTGATTCTAAAAACAGAAGGATCATCGTGTGTACTCGATTGATGATAATTTTGGAGGTCTGTATCCTGAATACGCAATTAAGAGTTATCGCCCATTATAAATGAAATGAAATGAAATGGGGTTTAACGTC